AATTGGAAACCCTGACTTACTCTGTTGCCCTTACTGGCCTACAACTCTATGCAGATGGATGAAGAAAATAAATAAAAAGGTAAAGAAAGGACATGACTGCTCCTAGGGATAGTGGAGCAGAAAGTTTATTGTAGATAAAAGGGAGAGTGTAGGTAGAGGCAGGGACATCTGGGAGAGTCCAGAGTGCACATGACCAGACTGAGCTGGGCTATGTGGGAGGGGGGAGGGGAAGAGAGAAGGGAGAGAGGGGAACCAGGTGCAGCAGCCAGGAGGCCCAAAGATACAAACAAAGGGTGGGTAACCAAAATGTCTGGATTATATAGGGAAGAGCCTCTGGAGGAGGGCAGCCCAGGCCCTGGGCTGTAGAGTTCAGGGTAGAGAGTGGGGGTATGCCAGCTGTCTAAGAGGTATGTGTACTCTGTAACTGAGGGATGCTGGGAAAACTCAGCCAGATCCTCTTTGATATGTTAAATAGGCACCTCAGATGTTTGTCCTGAGTTTGAATCTTGACAGCAGACTAGGCTGGTGTCAGAGTCAGAGACCTGCCTGCTTCTGCCTGAGTACTAGGGTTTGACACCGTGACTGGCCCTTGAATACTTCTTAAAAACACTAAAGCCAAATGTAGTTTGTTTTTTTTTTTGTTTTGTTTTTTGTTTTTGTTTTTCGAGACAGGGTTTCTCTGTGTAGCTTTGCGCCTTTCCTGGAACTCACTTGGTAGTCCCAGGCTGGCCTGGAACTCACAGAGATCCGCCTGGCTCTGCCTCCCGAGTGCTGGGATTAAAGGCGTGCGCCACCACCACCTGGCTGCCAAATGTAGTTTTAATCACAGTACTCAGGAAGCTGAAGCAGGAGGATGGAAAGTTCGAGGCCATCCTGGATTACCTAGAGCGTTGCAGGCCAATAGGTGGTGTTGCAAGTGTATACTCCCAAGAGTTTGAAGGGAGGAGGAAAAGAATCAGCAAAAAAAAAAAAGAAAAAAGAAAGAAAAAGAAAAGAAACAGCCGGGTGGTGGTAGCTCATGCCTTTAATCCCAGCACTCGGGAGGCAGAGCCAGGCGAATCTCTGTTAGTCGAGTCCAGCCTGGTCTACAGAGCGAGATCCATCAGGAGTTCAAGATCAGCCTTTGCTGCAAGATTTCCAGGCCAGCCTGGGCCCATGACACCTATCTCTAAAAACCCCAAAACAAAGGAAAATTAAAAAAAAAAAAAAGATGGCTGATAGAGTGCTCGCCTACCACACACAAATCTTTTGTTCATTTCACACACACACACACACACACACACACACACACACACACACACACTATGATATTTGTGGTGGTTTGAATGAGAATGGTCCCCATAGGCTCATATATTTGAATGGTGGGTTACTAGGGGGTGGAACTCTTTGAAAGGATTAGAAGGAGTAGGAGGTGTGGTCTTGTTAGAGGAAGTGTGTCACTAGGGTGGGCTCTGAGGTTTCAAAAGCCCAGGCCAGGCCCAGTTTCTCAGCCCTGTCTCTGTCTCTCTCTCAGCCTGTAGATCAGGATGTAGCTCTGGTCTTGACTGCTCCAGCACCACGCCGGCCGCCACACCACGCCGGCCGCCACACTCCCTCCCCACCGTGATGCTAATGGACTAAACCTCAGAAGCAATCAGCAAGTTCCCACTGAAATGCTTTCTTTTGTAAGAGTTGTCTTGGTTATGGTGTCTCTTCACAGCAATGGAACAGTGATTAAGACAGTGGTGAACAGCTGTAATTACCCACTTGCGAGGACAGAAGCAGAAGGAGCAGGAGCACAAAGTCAGCCTTAGCAGGAGTTCAAGGCTGGCTTAGGACAGATGAGACCCTGTCTCAAGAAAACAAAAAGCTAAAGGGATATAATATATTAGTTAGGTGTAGCCTCTTCTTGTTCTTGAGGAACTCCTGTGTCAGACGGGCGTCTTTGTCAACAGAGGCCCAGGGAGGGATAGTGCCATGGTACTCAGTCCAAGCAGGCTTGGTTGACCCCGTGGCTTTGACTTGAGCTCCATAGCAGCCAGACTCCCACCTCCTCTGAGCCCTACTTCAAGGCTGTGGAAACTTTCTATGGCCTAGCTCCTGGGCAAGGTTAGGATCCTCTTCTCCTGGTCACCAACAGCATGTGGGGCATTTGTGGTACATTTCTGTCCAGAGGTCTCAACACTCCTCTGACTGTCAGGGTTGAGGAAGCATCACCCTTAGCTGCCCACAGGGAACTCTTCCTTGTTCTGTCTCCAGTGAGAACTAAAGGCCCCAGAACCCTCCTGCATATGTGTCAATAAGGGGTGCATAACCCTAGCAACTTGGGAGGTGGAGGCAGAGAGACCACAAGCTCGGGGACAGTATGGGCGGCTCAGGGACAGTATGGGCGGCTCAGGGAGACAACATTAAAGAAACGGGTGCAGCTCAGTAGTAGAATGTTTGCCTGGCACACACATCCCACCCTCTTGCCCTCGGAGTCCTGACTCAGCCAGCTGCATGTGTTACTCTGGGCAGCTGGAGCCCAAGGCAGGCATATCCAGAGAAGGAAATCGCCGAGAGCAATATGGTCCTGCACGGTGTGCCATGGACACAGAAGCAAGTGGGGTTGAACCCCGGCATCCTGAGGTGGACTCTTCCATGTGAGCTCTGGGAAGAACAGCACCTGGATACTGCTCCTGGGCCCTGGATGACAGTCACTGTAGTGGCCTCTGTTTGTGGTCTTCTGATTCACAGCCTGTCTCCATCTTCTCTAGGGTCCCTGTGATCCAGTCCGCCAGATCTTTGGGCCTCCTGGAGTCCTTACCCGCTTTGTACCTTTACACTGCAAAGGACAGGGTGAGCTCCCCCTCCCTGGCCAGCCCCTGCAGTCCCCCAGACTCTCTCCAGTGTGCACCTTGAGGCTGCCCTCCCCAGCCCAACCCCCGATTCTTTCAGGGAGCTCCCCAGCCTTTGTGGCTTCCAGCTCTGAGCTCCGAGGCCATGACTCCCCTGACAAAAAGAGTAGCTCTAGTGGTTATCATGAGGATTAGGTAGAGCTGTGGAGCTCTGCATGTCCAGGCCCATGTACGCAATCAACACTGGGGCCTCTTAAATCCTTTGCGGTGAGGCTGATGTCATGGGGTTCTTGAACTTTGCTCTGTCTGGTCTTGGCCTAACCCAGTGCTCTAGGCCTGTGCCTTCATCTTTCACCTGCGTCTAATTCTGTGCTCAGTCTCAAGAAGGTTCCTTGGGGAGTTCCTTTGCTACCCAGAAGTCAGGAGCAGTTGGTTGAACTTTTATTTCAGAGCTAGGGAAAAACAAAAACTAGTACACTTGAGAGGCAAGCTCAGAACTGACCCGTGTCACATGTCTTTGGAGAAAGCAGTTTGCTTTAATAAACCGTTCTGGGAAAGGGTAATAGGAGTTTTATTTTCAGCTACTGATGACAGTAACCACTGTAACTGAGCAGAGCTTGCCTCTTGTCAAGGTGAGAGCAGGATGCCCAAAAGGGTACAGCCAGAAGGAATCATTCCCAGGGTGGGTTCTACTGATGGTGCCTTATCAGGAGAGGGCAGCCAGGGAGAATGGACCTCCAGGGTGGACTCCCGTGGGATAGCACATTCTCAGGAGAACATGGGGGTTAGACTGGGCAGGTTGAATCTGGAGAAGGTTCTCCACCAAGGGAAGGCCCAGATGAAACATGTCACAATCATGCTTTCCTTGGAGAAGAGCCAGCAGGGGCCTCTAGATAGATGAGGGTAGGGACAGCTTCAGTGTGCATGACATTTAGGGCCAAAGGCAGGGACCCTCGGAGGGAGTGGCAGAGAGTAGATAGAAGATGAGACTGTTTCTTTACATCCACCCCAGGGTTACCCAGCCCCCTCCCATGCTGTCTCCCACCCAAGGCCTGAATTACCATTGGTTCTCAGGACCCATGTGTGCCCAGGGCTCTGTTAGAGCATTAAAGTGAGAGTCTGGGCAGCAGAGGAAACCATCTGGGGACAAGAAGTGATTGCAGAGTGACCGAGGACCCAGGGATGAAAGGGGTGAGGGGACAAGCCTGGGGTGCTCAGTGTGGAAACTAAAGGGCTTTGAACCCTCCCAGAGCACCGTTGTGTTCCAAGATGGGAGAGAGAAGAAGAAACAAAAGCTGAAGAAGCAGGATGCCAAGGGAGGCAGTGACCATTCCACAGGCCACAAGGGCTTGACAGGAACAACACAGCAGTTGACTTCTAATCAGCTCACTGGCAGCTGGCAGCCCCGTAGAAACAGTGTCGTCCCCCTCCCCGGTCCGCTGCAGCCTTCTTCAGCTGCCTCCTCTGTCAGAATCCGGAGGGAGCCACAAGATGGCTGTGAGCAGCTCCTGGGGAAGCTCCTGCAGAGCTTTGATGGCCACCCAGACCACTCTGGGTGAGCCCAGGCAGGATTGGGGAGCCTGGGAGGAGTTCCAGCCATGGTCTGAGAGGCCTGAGGGCATCTTCCTAAAGTCCAGAGTTTGTAAGCACTGCTAAGCTATTTTACTAACCCCTGCCTCTGCTCCTCTACTTTTGGAATACTAGAATTATTTCTGTTTGGGGTGTGTGTGTGTGTGTGTGTGTGTGTGTGTTTGAAACAGAGCTCCTCCACATAGCTCGGGCTGGCCATAGACTCACTATGCAGCTGAGGCTGGCTTTGAAGTTTTTGATCCCCTTGCCTCCTCCCAAGTGTTGGGATTACCCCCCCCCCCCCCCCCCCCCGTTTTGGTTTTTAGAGAAAAGGTCTCACTGTGCAACCTAGGCTATTCTCAATTCTCTAACTTCCTCCCTCATAGTCCAAGGCCAGCCTGACCCCCAGAGTATTGGGGTTGCAGGCATATGTCACCATTCCCAGCTATTCCTGATACACACACACACACACACACACACACACACACACACACACACACACATCTATATCTATATCTATCTATCTATCTATCGATATATATATATATATATATATATATATATATATATATATATATATATATATATATATCTTTTTCAAGACAGGGTTTCTCTGTGTAACAGTCCTAGCTCCTAGCTGTCCTGGAACTTGTTCTGTAGACCAGGCTGGCCTCGAATTCACAGAGATCCACCTGCCTCTGCCTCCCAAGTGCTAGGATTAAAGGTGTGTGGTACCACCACCTGGACTCTCCTTCTATTTTTAATCTTTATTTATTAATAATTTTATTTTTGTTTTTTTGAGACAGACTCTCACTTTGTAGCCCCTCTGGCCTGGAACTCACTATATAGACCAGGTCAGTACCATCACACCCAGTCCTGCTATTTTTAATAAGTAAGTTTTTACCTTTTCCATTTAAAACTCTATATGACAAATTTTAAACTCATATAACCAGAATCTCTTTGAGTTTCTCAATAATTAAGAGTTTGTCAAAAAAAAAAAAAAGAGCTTGTCAGGAGTGGTGGCATAAGCCTTTAATCCCAGTGCTTGGGAGGCAGAAACAGGCAGAACTCTGTGAGTTCGAGGCCTGATCTACATATCAAGTTCTAGGACAGCAAGAGCTACATAATGGAGAGACTCTGTAACAAAATAATAATAATAATAATAATAATAATAATAATAATTCATAGTATAAAAGGGCCGAGGGAGATGGATTCTAATTTGGCTATGTGGTGCATGCCTGAAATCTCACAGTTGTGAAGTATGCAGGGATGATGAATATTAGCTTAGCAATCTGGGATTCCACTTGGTTTGGGTTATATACCTGCTTCTAATAATGCACATGGCAGCCTGAGACCTTTACCCACCTGTACTATGAGTGTACAGCCCTCTCTAAACAATAAAATGTTTCTCCTTATTTAATAACTATCAAATTGTACAATGTTTTGTTTGTTTTTTATTTTTAAAGATTTATTTATTTGTTATGTATACAGTGTTCTGTGTGCATTTTTGCCTGCATGCCAGAAGAGGGCATCAGATCCAATTATAGATGGCTGTGAGCCACCATGTGGTTGTTGGGAATTGAACTCAGGACCTCTGGAAGAGCAGTCAATGTTCTTAGCCTCTGAGCCATCTCTCCAGCCCTGCCTTATTTGTTTTTGTTTTGTTTTGTTTTTAAGACAAGGCCTCTCTGGGTAGTTCAGGCTGTCCTGGAACTCTCTCACAGTGGTCCATCTGCCTCTGCTTCCCAAGTGCTGGGTTTTTCTGTATAACAGCCCTGGCTGTCCTGGAACTATGTAGACCAGGCTCACCTCAAAATCACAAAGATCTGCCTGTCTCTTCCTCACAAGGGCTGGGATTAAAGGTGTGTGGTACCACTGCCTGGCGCTTGTACAGTTTCTACTCAATCAGCATCAGGAGCGCTGATCCAGCCTGATCTAAATTTAGGTGCATGTTTGTATTGGTTACTTTTCTATTGCTGTGATAAAACACCATGATCAACACAACTTGTAGAAGAAAGTTTGTTTGGGTTTAAGTTTCCAGAAGAATGAGAGTTCACCACAGCAGGGATTCAAGGCAGCAGGCACAGCAGCAGGAACAGAAATCGGAGAGCTCACATCTCAACCATCAACACTGAGTAGGGACAGCAACTGCACATGTGGGACGTCTTTAAACTCTCAAAGCTTGCCTCATGTGACATGCTTTCTCCAAAATGGCCATTCTTCCTAACTCTCCCCAAACAGTGCCAGCAACTGGGGACCAAGTTGAGCCTATGGAGGATACTCTCATTCAAATCACTACAATATACAACAAGGCAAACTCTACCTTCTAAGTGAACTTTTGGGAAAATCCTCTGTTTACTATCTTATGCCTATACATAAATGGGCATGCATAAGATTAAAACCAGTTGCATTATGGGAAAGGACATGCACAGTGAGCAAAGGCTGCCAGTCAAACTCCAAGCCCTGGTAACTGCTGAACCCCTGGAAGAGTGCTCCACGCACGGCCTGCGGTCACACTCCACACGTATCTAGCCTGTTCTTTGCTGTAAGTAAAGTTTCCTTGCTACTTTACAAATCTGTGTCTTCATTTCAATACCCCAAAAAAGGACTAAGAACATGGAAACACCTGGTCCAGACCCTGACCACCAGTAAAACTTGGTATGCTGAGGCAGGAGGACTGTGATAAGTTCAAGAGCTACATAGTGAGATGCTATTAAAAAAATAAAATGTAGCCGGGCGGTGGTGGCGCACGCCTTTAATCCCAGCACTCGGGAGGCAGAGCCAGGCGGATCTCTGTGAGTTCGAGGCCAGCCTGGGCTACCAAGTGAGTTCCAGGAAAGGCGCAAAGCTACACAGAGAAACCCTGTCTCGAAAAACCAAAAAAAAAAAAAATAAATAAAATGTACATATATATTATTTTCTCCTAAAACAGCTTCCTGTGTAGTCAAAGGTGGCTTTGAACTCTTAGTCCTCCTGTCTCTGGGATTACAGTCATGTGCTACCATGTGTGCTTGTGTGTGTGCTAATTTTTTAAAATACAAGATCTTTATTGGTTCTATGCTTTGAAAATAGCTTCCACAATATTTAATATTTTTATGTGTTTGGGTGTTTTGCCTACATGTATGTTTGTGCACCACCTGCCTGGTGCTCACGGAGGCCAGAAGAGGGCATCAGATCCCCTGGAACTGGAGTTACAGACCATTATGAGCTGCCATGTGGGGGCTGGAAGAGCAGCCAGGGCTCTTAACCAATGAACCATCTCTCCAGCCCTAATTAATTATTTCTATGTGTAGTCATAAGCTTGTGTGTGGAGATCAGAGCACAAGTTTGTGCATTCATTTCTCTCTTTCCACCTTTATGTGGGTCCTAGAGATTAAACTTGGGTAGGCCAGGCTTGGTAGCAAGTGCTTTATAGACAGCCTTCTGGCTGAGTCCAGCTATCTAACTGAGCCAATTCGACGGATTTCTTGTTTTGATCTTTTGAGACAAGGGCTTTACACCAGTGATATACGAAGATATTTATAACATAATAAATTTAGAAACAACCAAGACTGTGATCGATTGCAGACGGTGTGATTCACGAAGGCCCTTGAGTTACTGGAGAAGGCCCAGGAAATGACGTTGACTCAGGAGAAAAGATGGGGCCAAGGAGATAAAGGAACCAGAAAGGAGGGTGGGACCCAAGGATCCCAGAACCAGGGACATGAGGGAGTAAAGGAGGTGAACCTTTCCGCACGTGGGTGTGGGCCAGACAACCCCAGGATGTCAGTATGCGCAAGCACACAAAATACAGAAAAACGCAGTGTCCAGAGCCATCCCAGTCTCCACCTCCACTGTGCAAGGTTTCAGGGACAAAGTGCTACCGTCAATGAGCCAGGGCTATACCAGCAGGCGGTGACTAACAACAATGGCCGAGGGCTAAACTTATGATAATGGATGAACCAATGGGCGAGGACTGGACCAATCGGTGAGAGCTGAGCTAATGACAAAGGATGTTGCGCAGTTAGGAATGCTTCAATGAAGAGGAAAACATTTCCCTCCCCTCAATGGGACATTAAAAAAAAAAAAACTTTAAATAAATGTCCCGGCTTCCTCTACAGGGAGCCAGATCAAATACTGCGTGAAGCGAGTGGAAAGACGTCAGTAAACCATGCCCGGGATCCCAAACCCAGGCTGCTCCATCCCTTCTGGCTCCGCCCTCTTCTGGGTAATGAGCCCGCCTCTCACGCCGATTGATCGAGCGGTCCCCTCGCCGTTGCGAAGGTAATATCCGGATAGGCGGAATTTCTCAAAGGAATGGATCGCCCTCATGGCCCTACTGCGCACGCTCGCCCCGTGACCCCAGCTTGAGGTGACGGCGGGAGCCAAGGCGGGGGCCCAAAAGCACTGAGGCTGAGGGACCCGCCACGGCTCCGTCGTCCGAGAGGGCAGGGCCTGCTGCCGTCGGTGAGGACGGGCCCCAGCGGGCGGGAGGGTCCCGGCCTGGCTGTCCAGGGATCCGGGACTGGTGCTAGGGAAGGGTCCCTGGCTCTGCCCCGCTCCTTGCCCGCCATCCGCAAGGCGCTTCCTTTCTCCATGCTTCCCTTCACTAACCCACCCTACCCCTCAACCGAACCTGGACACCTCCAATCTGGAACGCCCCCACCCAATGCGCACCTACCCCAGTCGGTGTCCATTCTGCCTGGTACACGCCCATCCTTAACATCTGCAGTTTTGTCGCATCTGTCCTGGGGGTTCTTGTCCCAGTGGGAGAGTTTGAGGGCTGGGAGCTGGGGGATGCTTCAGAGACTGGGGAGGGGAGGGGTCACTGATGGGAGGGGAGCAGGGAGCCTGGGCATTTTAGACTCAAGATGAGACATGTTGGGCAAGGGTGGTGGAAGGTACCATTCTGAGTCAAGGTGATCAGCGGAAGGGAGGTGCCCTTATTTGAGACCCCACATTGGGGAAGCTGTGCTCTGTTCTGCATCTTATTCAATTCTTGGCCTTTTGGGAGGGTCACCGACTTTTTCTTCTGTCTCCCTGTGAGAATATGTCCGGCACATCCCAGTGTCAAATCGTTCCCTAAGCAGTCCAATCACAAGTCCTCCATGGCTGTGCAGGACAGTGGCTGTGGGAACAGCTGTTGGTATCCTGAGTTCAACGACCTTACCCTTCACTTGATGCTGGCAAGTTCAGTCACACAGATCAGACCGGCCCAGAGAGGGAGGGTGAGAGGATCTGTCCTTCCGTTAGGACATTCATGGCTCGCTCTCATCGTGATGAAGGTAGTTCTGTTGAGCACCCAAAGATAACAAGTGAAGTTCCAAGCCTCCAGAGCCTCGTCAGTAAGAGTTTGGACCTTAATTGTTTTATGGCCACTATAACAAATCGCCACCAATTTAGTGACTTAAAAATAACACAACTTCAATGTTGTACATTTTAGAGGCCAGAAGTCTGATGTGGGTGTTGTTAGAGTCAACGGGGTTGTATTCCTCCTGAGGCTTAGGGGGACACATCCCATCCCAACCCGTGAGCCCTGCCTCGTGCTCATCTTTCCTGCTCTTTGGTTCCACTTCCACATTTTTCTTTCTTTTTTCTTTCCTTCCTTCCTTTTTTTTTTTTTTTTTAAGATTTATTTTATTTATTATGTATACAGTGTTCTGCCTGCATGTGTCTTTGCAGGCCAGAAGAGGGCACCAGATCTAATTGCAGGTGGTTGTGAGCCACAATGTGGTTGCTGGGAATTGAACTCAGGACCTTTGGAGTAGCAGTCAGTGCTCTTAACCACTGAGCCATCTCTCCAGCCCCCTTTCCTTTCTTTTTTGTTTATTTTCAAATTGTGTTTATGTGTCTGTGTGCCACGTGTTGCAGTGCCTATGGAGGCCAGAAGAGGGCATCAGGTCCTCTGAGCTGTACAGGTGGTTGTGAACCACTTTATGTGGGTGCTGGGAACCAGATTCTGTCCTCTGGAAGAGCAGGAAGCACCCGACCACTGAGCAATCTATCCGGTGCTGTTTCTTCTGTTTGATTGGGGGGGGGGGGCAGGAGTGTGTGTATGCCTGTGGCGGTCAGAGGACAACTTGTGGGAGCTGGGTCCATGGTACGTGTGGATCCTGGGGTGGAACTCAGGTCTTGAGGCTTGGTGGAAAGCACTCTTGCCTGCTAAGCCATCTTGATAATGCTTGTTTTGGAGACAGGTTCTCCATAAGTAGGTGTGATTTGAACCCCCAGGTCCCTGTGTTAGCCTTCCTACTGCTGGGGACTGGACCTAGACATCTCAGGACTCACGATTCGGCATCTCACAGACCTGATGGTGTGCGAATGACTCCTGCTCATTGTATGCTCTTGGGTCTTGGGCCATTTTTGCTCTCCTGGGTCTCCTTAGTCATGACCAAGGTCGTGAGAGCTGCTTCCCTTTACAATGCTGGGGATTGAGTGTGGGCGAGCTCTCAACCTGGCTACACCAACTCTTGCTTCACTTTTTTTTGGGGGTGGGTGGGGATAATTGTGTGTGTGTGTGTGTGTGTGTGTGTGTGTGTGTGTGTGTGTGTGTGTGTGTGTTATGTGTGTGATGGTGTGCAATGCTTCTGTGCACACACAGAGGCAAGGGGATGTTGAATGTCTCTCCACCCTCCGCCCCCACCTGCCCACCGTATTCCCCTGGAGACAAAGCGTCTCACTTCTCTCTTGAACCGGAAGCTCACCATTTTGGCTAGGCAGATTGGACAGCCAGCAAGCTCCAGGGATCTGAATGTCTCCACTTCCCAGTGCTGGGTTTCAGGCCTGGGTGGTCAGGCCTGGCTTTCATGGTGCTGGGGATTGGACTCAGACCCTCAGGTTTGTGCAGGAAGTGCTCCCCCCGTCCCCCAAGTTGGACCGTGTGACAGTTTTCCTGCTTCATTATTCTTAGTGCTGGGATTTTAGGTGTGAGCCACCACACCTGGCTTCACTTATTTATTTATTTATTTATTTATTTATTTATTTATTCCCTCATTCATTTGTTTGAGACTGGGTCTCATGTAGCCCAGGCTGGTCTTGAACTCCTGATCCTTCCACCTCAACCTCATATGTGAGAGGTCTGGTCTGAGACTGGTTTTCTCTGAGTAGTAGACTAATAAAAATTACCTTTTGAATAAATGTATCCTATCTTTTAAAATGTGAAATATGTGCCTACTGCAAAAACAGAAAAGGGAGTTCATGGATTTTACAGTTTGAGAGGATGGGTCTGGAGAGATGGACTTTACAGTTTGAGAGGATGGGTCTGGAGAGATGGACTTTACAGTTTGAGAGGATGGGTCTGGAGAGATGGACTTTACAGTTTGAGAGGATGGGTCTGGAGAGATGGCTCCGCTGTTAAGAGCGCTTGCTGCTCTTTCCAAAGCCCTAAGTTGGGTTGGTGTGGGGGCGGCTCACAACCACCTGTAACTTTAGCTCCAAGGGAGCTGACACCCTCTTCTAGCCTCAGAGGGTACCACTCTACATGTGGCATTCACTCACACAGACACACATACATATAAATAAAAAGAATAGAAATAAATCTTTAAGATTGTGAAAGGTGGGACCATGAAAGGTGAAATCACACATTCTCATCATCACCTCAAATTCATCCCAGACCACAGGCACCGTTGTGCCGTCGTGGCAGATTTGAAGAGCATTAGCCATGCATTTTATAGACTAACCCATGATGTGGGGCTGAGAGTTCCTAAGATCCCACCGAGAAAAAGGGCCTCAGCACAGCACAGCCTCACAGCTGTGTGACTCAACACAGATGATGTTGACTTTGATCACCTGGTGGAGGTGGTATATGAGCTCTGTTACTATTCTTAGCATTCCTGTTCCCTTGGGAGTGAGTCACTAAGTGACAAGGGGGAGGACTTAAGGTCCACCTTAGGGGAGGAGCGTACTCTTTAGAATTCTGCTAGCTTGAGACAGGATCCTGTTTAGCCCGGCCTGGCCTTGAACCCTGTACATGGCCAAAGGTGACTTTGAACTCCTGATCCTTCTGCCTCTACTTCCTAAGTGCTGAGATTATAGGCATGTGCTACATAAAAAGCTTATGTAGTGTTGGGACTGGAACCCATGGCTTTGTGCATGCTGGGCAGGCACTCTCCCAACTATGTCCCCAGCCCTGGAATTCATGAGGAAGACTTGGGCCCTCTCTAATATACATTCAGTTATTTATATCATTGTGGGTTTGTCTTGTGGATATTTTATTCTTAGGATTATTTTTTTAAAGATTTATTTATTATCTATACAGTGTTCTGCTTGCATATATGCCTGCCAGCCAGAAGAGGGCATCAGATCTCACTCTAGATGGTTGTGAGGTACCATGTGGTTGCTGAGAACTAAACTCAGAACCTCTGGAAGAACAGCCAGTGCCCTTAACCTCTGAGCCATCTCTCCAGCCCTGTTCTTAGGATTATAATCCTGCCCATTTAAGGGTGGACTCCACTCTGGAGCACTTTTCCCCATAGCTGGCCTTTCTTACTGGAATTGGCTCTTGGCCGGTAGGACTGGATTTTAGTCCTAACTCTTACTGGCTGTGTGATACTGGGCCACTCCGCTAAGTGCCCAAGGTTACATCCCTGGGGGCAGAGTGGGATGATGGCTATACTTGGGAGGGACATCATTGGGTTCCAGTAACGAAGGTCAAGATTGACATCAGATCTCATCCCTGACTCGGGTTGCTTTGTGTTGAACTTGGACAAGAAAGCCAGTGGGGCAGGGTGCCTGACCTCTTCCTCACACCATTTTATCCAAGAGGTTTCTGGGTCTTGCTGTTGTGTGTGTGGCATGTGTGGCGTAGTGTGTGTATACATGTGACATGCAGTGTGTATATGTGTTTGCAGGTGTGCTCTCCTACACATGTGCAGGTCAGAGGTTGGTACTGAGTACCTCCACTTGCTTTTTTTTTTTGGTTTTTCGAGACAAGGTTTCTCTGTGTAGCTTTGGAGCCTGTCCTGGAACTTGCCCTGTAGACCAGGCTGGCGTCGAACTCAGAGATCTGACACTACCACCTGGCAACTTTTTTGAGACAAGGTCTCTCACTGAACCTAGAGCTCACTGTTTTGGCTAGACTGGCAGGCACACTCTCCCCTGGGGTCTACCTGACTCTGCTCCCCTCCCTGCAGTGCCAGAGTTACAGAGGCTGCCACACTGGGCTTTCTAGGTGAGTGCTGGTATCCACACTCAGGACTCATGCTTGCACAGCAAGACTTTGCTCACTGAGCCTCTGGGTCACTTCACTTTGTCAATTTGTGTTCTGTCTGAAACAAGATCTTTTCTTCCCGTGCTGTGGATTGACCCACTCAAATGCCAGGCAAGTGTGCTGTGTCCCTGAACTATATCCCCAGACTAAAACTAGAGTTTGTTTTTTTGTTTTTGTTTTTGTTTTTTTTTTGACAGGGTTTCATTATATAGTCCTGGTTGTCCTGGAACTCCCTATATAGATCAGACTGGCCTCAAACTCAGAGATCTGCCTGCCTCTGTTTCCTGAATGCTGGGATTGAAGGCATATACTATCATGCCTGGTCCTAAATTTTAATATGCTAATTTTTATTCTATCAATTTGTATTAGTCTTTTTGTTTGTTTGTTTGTTTGTTTGTCTCTGTGTAACAGCTCTGGCTGTCCTGGATCTTGCTTTGTAGACCAGGCTAGCCTCACTCATGGAGATCCGCCTGCCTCTGCCTCCCGAGTGCTGGGAATAACGGCATGGGCCACCACTGTCCGGCGATTTGTATTAATCTTATTTACTTGCTATTAAACCTTTTTTGAGGTTCTGGGGATTGAACTCAGGACCTTTTGCATGCTAAGCTTGAGCACTACCACTGAGCTGCACCTCAGCTTAGCTCATGTGTGTTTTCTTTCCTGACATTTACATTGTACAGGAGACCCTTTTCTTCTGAGTAATGGACTAATGGGGAAAATTCCCTTGTGAGTAAGTACATCTCATCTCTTTTTTAGATGTTAAATATATTGCCACTGGGGGCATGGAATGAGTTCACGGCATACAAGATAGTCAGTTAGTGAAGGGTGAAATTACTCATTCCCACCATCACCCCAAGCTACATTCCAAATCCATTTGGTAGCACCCCCATCCTCCTCCACTGACTGCTTTGCCTCCTCCCTCAGGACAGAGCCCCTGGACTCCCAGGTTCCTGGCCAGGGAGGTGGAGGAAAAGGAGAGACCTATCTGCCAGGGCGAGTGTGGCCTGAAGGCCAGGCTGCTGGTTCTAGGATGCCCCAGCCCAAGCCCAGTGAGCAAGAGGGTGAGAGCGTGAAGGGCGGCCAGGAGCCAACTCCCCAGCCTGGCATGGATGTGGTCCCAGCAGCCCCCAGGAAGCCCAGAAAATGCTCCAAACTGGTCCTGCTGACAGCGTCCAAAGACAGCGCCAAAGTGGCTGGGGCCAAGCGCAAAGGAGTACACTGCATCATGTCCCTGGGGGCACCAGGCCCTGCCACCCTGGCCAAGGCTCTCCTCAAGACTCATCCCGAGGCTCAACGGGCCATTGAAGCAGCCCCCCAGGAGCCTGAGCAGAAGCGTAGCAAGCTGGACCCGGGTGAGGCTCCTGTAGCTGGCGCTGCCCCCTCAAAGATACCTGGCCCCTTTCAGAGCTGCCACAGGCACCTGGCTCCAGTTCTAAGAGTCCCCGCTCTTCCTTCCCTTTGCCTTCATGATCCCTGCTCCTCTACTTCTGAGCACAGGTGGGAGGTGGAGGGCTCGGGTTACAGGTGCTGCTGGCATTCCTTGAGGAGCCTGGGTCCCTAGGGGTTACAGGTGCTGCTGGGCGTTCCTTGAGGAGCCTGGGTCCTTATTCTAGCCCCTCCTAGTCTTGCAGAGTAGCCTTGTCCCTTTGCGTCCACGAAGAGTTCCCTCTGCATGGCCTGCATGCCTTGCTTCATCACAGGAGTGTCTGGTTGAGGTGGGCCTGCTGCCATGCACTTCCATGCTGGAGGCTGCTGGCGACTCCTAAGGGCTTGGCTACATACAGATGTTTCCAAAGGCCTGGGCTTCTTGGTCCACCTGCCACCTGTTCCACAAGCGTTTCGTAGCCAGTACAAAGAGTGCCATCATTTCTTCAGTCAGCCAGTTTACCTGTGTTTGTAGACTTGCAGCTCTGTGCTCACTGGGCACTGGGACTCCAGGCCAACAGGAGCTGTGGGGACTTCCCTCCCTGCCTCTTCTGCTCCAGCTCCACCCACAGTGAAGCCGCCACAGAGGATAGAACAGGGCTCTGAGGGACTGTCAGGAGGCAGCAAAACAGTAGCCTTAGAAGTTGCAGGCTGATGAGGGTACAGAGCTCCCTGGGGAAGTTCACTGCTCTCTTGTCTTGGTTTACGGTGGTGAGATGGTGGGAGATGATGAGCAGCTTTAGTTTACTCACCCCTTACTCACTGCTCCACCTTGGCTGTGTCCCTTCCTCCAGTGGGACTGGGTGAGTGCTGGATGGTGACAACTGTCCCTTTCTCACACCCAGCTCAGGCTGGCCTCATGTCAGATTCTTGGGACCTGTGGTTACCTCAGGCCTCCCTGGGAGTAGTGAGGTGGCAGGTAGCAGAGGAATTGGCTGGGGACTAGCAGAACAGAGCTGGCAGATGTCCTTGGAGCACTCAAGAGAGTGGAGGAGGACAGCAAGTGGCCGACTTGAAGTGCTCAGTGTCAGGACATTGGAGTTTGTGCTGAGGTGGGGGAAGAATGGCCACAGGATGTACAAGTCAAAGACTTGAGACTTGGTCCAGGGTCTGACCCACTTGCCAGTACACATAGTTCCCAAAGTCACTAGAGCTGGAAGGAAAGCCCTAGGCCAACAGCACCTGGAGGCCCAGGGAGGGTGACAAGACACCTTCTTAGGTGGAGCTGGAAGTTCCCTGACCGGGATGTCTTACTCTGTGTGTGTGTGTGTGTGTGTGTGTGTGTGTGTGTGTGTGTGTGTGTGTGTGTGTGTGTGTGTGCCCATTACTGTGTGTGTTCTGTGTGTGTGTCTATGTGAGCATCTCTTTCATTGTCTCTCTTGTGCCTTTGTGTGACTTTTACCTGGGAGGGTGAGTGTGTGTCTGAAGCAGTTTCCCCTCCCCACTAGGCTTGGAGCAGGAGCTACTGCCACTCAAACACACCCAGTGGCAGGGAAGAGGTAAATGAGCTGCTGATCTCTCCCAGCAGAAGAGTGTCTGGCAGGCCTTGAGATGGTGGGGATGAGGAAAGCTGAGTCCGGGCCCCTGCTTTCTGCCTTTGCACAGGTGGCCCCTTGGGATCAGCCATGTACTCACTGGCATGAGGAAGGAAAGGGCGCTCCTGTGTTACCATCAGTTAGCTAGGCTGGGCAGGGGACCCTGCCTCACAAGTAGAAACTTAATGGGATATCTTAAGGTCACAAAGATTCATAGTCCCACTGCCCACCCCCACCCATAGGGGCTAAAATCTCAGGAAAACCAAGATGGAGTGTCCATAACTACAAGCCTGGAGTTCTTTGGGGACCATAAGGATCCTCAACCTCCCACCCACAGCTGGAGCAGTACTGAGAAGTCAAAGACCTTGATATGCTGACTCTCTGTGAGTGCTCGCACTAGTCAGTCCTGCTCGGGGTGCCTCCCTGTCTCCACAACCTGGTTCTCACCAGCACACAGGTAGAGGCTGAGTCTCCAAGACCCTTGGGAGGCTGATCTCAGAGAGTCTGTCACTACACTGAGGCCACCTACACAGAGGGAAAGGAGCAGAGTCTAGCTGGGATCTGTTCTTCCCACAAGAGTTGGGTATAGACACATTACGTGTGTCCTTTCCAACCATGGGAGACTTTAGCTTGCTTCTTGTGTAAGTTCAGGCTCTGCAACACCATGGCTTCTTTGAGAACTGGGACAAAACTCACTTCTCCAGATGAAACACAAAGGAAGGACGGTACCCCTTCAGGGCTGTGCTGGGCAGGCGCTCTTGGTCAGTGGACAACTTCCTGCCTCCCGTTCCCACATGCACACCTCCCTGTCTCTGGCCCACCCAGGGCCAGGTGGTGGCGATTCAGCCACTTCCTGCTCAGATGTTTCCTAGAAATGACTTTAGAAGTTCAGGTTTGTAACCCTGAACTTGGTGGCTCTTTATGAACAGTGTCTCTGGTGTGGTGAGTACATCTCTAAGTTAGTTAACAAAGATATCTGGCCCTGTGCTGACCCCTAAGCCAAAGTGAGGGTGGCTCTCAGCTTACAGTAGAACAGTGTGAGCGCAGGGCCAGCCTCTCCCAGCCTTCCTTTGTTCTTTGTTACCAGCCTGACCTATCTGCCTTTCTTCCAAACACAGATGGCCCAGAAGACAGCGGATGGTCTGGGGTGTCTTCTTCAAGTCCCAAGGAGACCACTGTGCTCCCCAAGGCACCCAGCACTTCCCCATAACCTTGGCAACTGCTGCGGCATGTGTTGCTCACTGCATCAGTTACTTTTATAAGCAAGAGGGAAAAAGAGAGAAAATAAAAGAAGCTGTATGCTATTTCCCACCATGGGTAGGTTTTTGTTGCTGCTGCTGTTTTTTCCGAGCACAGTTTCTCTGTATAGTCCAGGCTGCCTGGAACTTGCTCTGTAGACCAGGCTAGCCTCAAACTCAGAGATCTTTCAACTACTTCTGCCTCCCAAGTGCTGGTATTAAAGATGTATGCCACCACCTCTAGGCTAGGGTAGGTTTAAAACATTGTAGGACTGTAGGACTTTGGGTCATTGGAGCCTGCTCTGACCCCATCACTCTGGAGACTTCCTTTCTAAGTTTTCTTCCCATTTCAGACTTGCCTGGCCTGGGCGATTAGACTCAATGGAGTCTCTCTTGAGGCCTCTAACTCCTAACCTCACAGATGGGCTCTGTTGGTCTGGAAAATGAGTTCTTGGCATAATTCAGAGTGGTTCCCAAGGCTTCGTCTTCATGCTGATGCTAGCCTGAAATGGGACACTGAGAACTCCTGCTTTGGACCGGAGACAGCCTGATCCTCATCACTGCCTGGCCCTTCCCTCTACAAGTGGCATCAGGTTCCCTCTAGCTGAGTCCTCCAAGGTTGCCCTATATAGGCCACTGTCCTTCTTAACCTAAGCCTGCCTTCTAGAAGAAGACTTTCAGATTGCTGGCTCCCAGGCATGGGACCCCAGCATCCTCCCTACAGATGCCACTGAGGAAGGGATGAGCCTGCACCTGACACTTGTCGAGGATCTGCCTTGACAAGAGTGTAAGGCCAACACATACACACAGCCTGAGCCTCTAACAAGAGTGCAAGGCAACCCCAAGAGATGAACACACAGCCTGAACCCCTTTCCAACTTGTGGACGGGAAAGAAAGGAAAACATAGCTGCCTTCCATTTCCAGTCCCCAAGTTGGGAACTCCCAGAGACCCCAAAGGCTTTGGCTTCTGGTCCTTTTACCTGTGAGTCCTTATTCTTTGAAAACCACTTCTGAGTATGAAAAATATTATCTTTTTCAATGTAGGATGTAAGGGACCTATGTTCCAAACTTGTCTTCAAAACTGAATGCCTCTGAAACATACTTGGCACATTTTTCTCCTGCCATTTTGCTGTATTGCTTTTATAGGGCCTTTTTTTTTTTTTTTTTTTTTTTTTAAAGATTTATTTATTTATTTTATATGCAGTGTTCTGCCTGCATGTATGCCTTCATGCCAGAAGAGGGCACCAGATCTCATTATGGATGGTTGTGAGGCACCATGTGGTTGCTAGGAATTGAACTCAGGACCTTTGGAAGAGCAGTCGGTGCTCTTAACCGCGGAGCCATCTCTCCAGCCCTATAGGGCCTTTTTTTTTATTAAAAATTATTAATTTTGCCTGTCTGTATAGTATGTGCATGCAGAACCTTTGGAGGTGAGAAGCTGTTGGGTCCCCCCTGACACCACAGCCGCAGACAGTTGTGAGCTGCCATGTGGGCACTGGGAATAGAACCTGGGTCCTGGAAGAGCAGTCAGTGCTCTTAACCACTGAGCCATCTCTCCAGCCCCATCAGGGCTGTTTGTAATATTTCTATTCTGTTCAGCCCTGGAAGTTAGTTCTTTTGTCCTAATGCTCTCTTTAAAGGGAGTCCACTGTGGTTTCTCTTTCGCTGCATGCTTTTGGTTGTCTACTTTTGTCAGATGCCTTTAATCCCAGCATTTAGGAGACAGAGGCAGGGCTTGGGGGTTGGCGTGGGAGGGGCAGGACCTGATGTTAGGGAGATGGCTCAGTTGGTAAATGCTTTCTGCTGCTCAATCATAAGGACTGATTTCTAGCAACCACACACACATACATATATTACACACACACACATATATTACACACACATATTACATACACACATATATTACACATCACACACATATATCACACACATATACACACATATTATACCCACACATATTACACACATATATATCACACACACATATATTGCACACATATGTTACACACACACACAAGCAGGATGCTGTGGGTGGGCCTCTAACCCCAGAGCTGGGTAGTCAGAGACAGTAGCATCCCTGGGGAATGTTGGCCAGCCAGTCTAGCCAAATCAGCAAGCTTCAGGTTTAGTGAGAGATCCAGTTTCAAAAAATAAGAAAGAGCACAGTTGAGGAAGGCATCCAACACTCAATGTTGACTTCTGGCCTAAACACACACACACACAAACACACACATCCAATACCCGATGTTGACTTCTGGCCTAAACACACACACACACACACACACACACACACACACACACACACACACACATCCAACACTGACTTCTGGCCTAAACACACACACAAACACACACATACATCCAATATCCAGTGTTGACTTCTGGCCTAAACATACACACACACACACACACACACACACACATGCACACACACACAGACACATGAAGGCCTGAGAACAGAGCAAGGGAGAAAAGGGGCCAAGACTACTCTAACTTTTGTGTGCAAACCTCTATATGTTTTCCTCCAGCCTGTGTATATATATTTTCCTGGGTTAGAGTGGCTGGCTCTTTCCAATACTCCTAGATCTCCACTGCTGAGACTCTGCTTCACAATTGCTCCTGGAGACCAGATGGGGGCGAGCGCAATCCACGCCACTCCCTCATCGCCCAGGTACCTGAATGGTGAGCGCCTCCTGTAGTGGGGTCTCGAATTACTGATTTCAGTCAGTCCTGCACGGCAGAATGTCAGAAGCAAGGGCTACTTAAGGACCAGGCACAGGATAGCTTTGTATGATGTATTAGATTTATTGCTCTCTCTTCCTACCCCATCCCTACACCACATAAGCTAACAAACACTACCAGGGAAGGGATCTTTTGTCTGTTTGGGCTCCTGAGTTTTCCAGTAACAGGCCATAAGGAGAGGAGCCTGCAGGGTCGCTGAACAGAGCATGGGAAGGAGAAATGGAGCAGAGGTTTGAGATTTACCAAACTGCAGAGGGCTTAGAGGTTCTGCCCATGTGTAGATCAGATGTGTGGATCAGAGTAGACCTGGGGCCGGGGAGGGGAGGAGGGTTACAGGAAGCTGGTGTCTCACCAACTCTGAGGTGAAGGGATGGCAAGGCAAGTGGGGGAGCCTGCTAGTCCTAGGACCTTTCAGCTGTGTTAAAAGCAAGAGAGTACAAGGCAGAGCAAGCAGTCCTCCTGTGGGAGCAATCCTCCTGTTTCTGCCTCCTGAATACTAGGAAGACAGGTGAGCATGCCTGCTTAAACGTTGGCCTTTAAAACAAGGGCCCCTTGTGTCCTTGAACTCCTGATTATTCTACCACCTCCCAAGAAGCTCGGAGTCAGAGTGTTGATCATCATACCTGGCCAAACTGTCCAGGGGGCCTCAAAATTCACCTCACAAGGGCTGGGATTACAGATGCGACCACCACACTCAGTTTTGTTTGTTTTCAGAGATTTATTTATTTATTTATTTACTTGTCGGTTTTTTGAGACAGGGTTTCTCTGTGTAGCCCTGGCTGTCCTGGAACTAGACTAGACTGGCCTTGAACTCACAGAGATCTGCCTGCCTCTGCCTCCCAAGTGCTAGGATTAAAGGGGTGGGCCACCACTGCCTGGCCTCAAAGATTTATTTTCATTTCATCTGTATGAGCATTTGCCTGCATATATCTGTAACATGTACATGCCTGATTCTGAAGGAGGCCAGAAGAGGGTGTCAGATCCCCTAACTGAACTTTGTCCTCTGCAAGAGCAGGAAGTGCTGAGAAATTCTAAGCCAGTAGTTCTCAACCTGTGGGCCACAAGCCCTTTGGCAAGCCCCTATCTCCAAAAATATTTACATTATGAGATTCATAACAGTAGCAAAATTAAAGTTATGAAATAGCAACAAAAATAATTTTATAGTTGGGAGTCACCACAACATGAAGAACTGTATTAAAGCTTCACAGCATTAGGAAGGTTGAGAACGACTGCCTAAGCCATCTTTCCAGCCCTGTTAGTTTTTTGAGACATTTTATGTGGCATCAGCTTCCCTGGGACTCACTCACTATGCAGCCCGGAATGGTCTCATTCTCCTACCTCTGCCTCCAGAACCCTGAGATTACAGGCTTGCTCCTCCACACCAGGCTTTGCGTTTTCTGTTTTTTAGCTTATAGATTTCTGAAAAACCCTTTATTTTATCTTCTATTTACTCATTCACCTATGGTTTGTTGTTTTTAAGAGAGTTCATGTAGACCAGGCTTGCCCTGCATTCATTATATACCTGAAGATGGACATGAATTCTGGATTCTCTGTGTATTTTTTGCTTTCTCTGTGTATCAGCCTGGTTGTTCCAGGACTTGCTTTTCTAGACCAGGTTGGCCTAAAACTCACAGAGATCTGCCTGCCTCTGCCTCCTGAGTCCTGGGATTAAAGGTGTGAGCCACCACTGCCCAGCCCAGCTACTGGATTTTTATTTAAACTTGTGATCTGTTATTGTCAGTATTTTGAATCTCAGATTGTCCTGGATTGGGAGTGGAGGATATTTAAAGGCTTCAATGTGCTTCATAAGAAAGTTCAGGAGAACTGGAGAGATGGCTCATCCATTAAGAACACTGGCTGCTCTTCCAGGGGACTCAGGTTTGAGGCCCAGTACCCACATGGTGGTTTACAACTCTTGGCAACTCGAGTTCCAGTAGATCTGATACCCTCTTCTGACCTCCACAGGCACCAGGCATGCACATTGGTGATATACACATGCAGACAGGCCCTCAAATACATAAAAAAAAATTAATGTAAGAAGTATTTTTTTTTAAAGGAGAAGCTGGGCAGTGGTGGCATATGCCTTTAAGCTCAGTACTCAGCAGGCAGAGGCAGGCAAATCTCTGTGAGTTCGAGGACTGCCTGGTCTACAGAGTGAGTTCCAGGACAGCCAGGGCTACACAAAGAGAAAGCCTGTCTCAAAAAGCCAAAACCAAACCAAACCAAAACAATGCTGGGTGGCGGTGGTGCATGCCTTTAATCCCACCAGCACTTTGGTGGCAGAGGCAGGCAGATCTCTGAGTTCGAGGTCAGTCTGGCCTAAAGAGTGGTCCAGG